TTTTTTTTATGAAAAATAGTAAAGATAAAAAAAGATATGAAGGAAATATGTTGTGAAATAAGTAACTTTGTGCTTTAAGATACGAGTTTGAGAAAGTAAGGCCGATATGCCACTTGGAGCTTTAAATCGCAAACATTTTAAAGGCACTCCCACTGCGCCCGTCACCCTGAGACATTAGTTCGTTCCGGTTTTGAAACGTAAGGGCATTGAGTTACAAATAAATGAACGACGGGTCTAATACAAAAACCACGAAAAAAATGTCCCAAGTCAACCTATTCGAAATTTAAATTGTAACGTCATCGCAGTATCGCGCTGTCAGTAGAACAAATGAAGACTAAAGCGGAGTGTCGCGCTCTGTATACGATTTTAGCGCCTTACAAGTGCGGACACTTTTTAGCGCGGACCCGACGTCCATATAATTGTAAGTCAATGCGTAAGGGTGTTTATGAAATTACAGGCACATGGGACTTGTCAACCCATGTCAAAGGGTACAGTGGCAGTCCCTCTAAGATCTTTGCGATTTAAAGCTCGGAGTGGAACTGCAACTGTTATGGAAAGGCGTTTCGCTTACTAAAATCTGTTCCAATCCATTTTGAGCAGAAAGTAAACAAAACTGTTTGGTTAAAATTCTAAAGCAATCACTCAATAAATCGAATCAGTAACATTTTCACGTATATTTCGAAGTATTCGGCTTGATATGTCGTCACCTTTTCTAACAAAAAAATGGTAGTCAAAAAGTGAGGGTATTTTTTAATTAAATATGTATGAATAGTCTATGGTTGCATAGTGCTGTACGAAAAGAGAAACGGTTAATTCAATTAAAGTTTTGTAATCGAATATTTCAATCGCAAGTGAACGAGTATCCAAGTGTAAGGAATTGAAGGAGGATTTAAAATTAAGATTTCGGAAATTTTAAATGTGTAATTTAAAAAAAAACCGCTAGTACGACTTAATTGAACAAATCTATTCATTCAATTAATTAATCGAATTGTAGTTGGGATTACAATTGGCCATCACGAAACCGTCTATGGTCGGGTCAGTGACTTGTTTGTTTACATTTTGTTCAAAATGGATTAAAACGAAGTATACCAGGCGCACGACTAATTCATTCCGTCACTTGGCATCACTTAAATAAAATTTGAAGGAGTTTACTTGTGTCTCATTAAATCGACTCATCCGAAGAACAGAGTGCAATGTGATTGTATGGCGAAAAGAGAATAAATACATAATTTCGTTATTCAAACTAAGGCCTATGTAAAGGTGTTTTGAGAATTTATATATCTAATTTCGTTTCGGATATATAAAATCGAACAACAGTCGATCTGCCATCCACAGCGAAGAAGAACGAACGAAATGTACTATGTCCTGAGAACAAGTAGTCTTGCACATAGATCTTTATTCTGCGAATGAGTCGAAATGTCGTGTTTGTACTTTAAACCCTTGACTGTATACCAGTGTTGCCACAAATAAATAAGTTATGTATATTTTTTATTTCCAGGCGTCCTTTGCCCGTGCTGATCAACTAGCTCAACATTTAAACAGCCACCTTGCAAACTACAAACGACTTAAGCCATAAGCCCACTGGGGTTTAGCGCTAACGCTTTATCGATATCGGGCAATTGTTTTATCGACATGATTCTGTTTTACCGATAGAGCGATTGCTTTATTTACATTAATTTGTTTTTTATCGATATAGCTACTGTTGACATAGTTTATTTATAGTGAATTGCCAACTTTGGTGTTGTAGGGTTTAGTATTGATAATTTTGTAGAGATTCTTGGCCTTCGTTGGTGAATAATTGTGCCGCTGTTAGTTGAAATGGCGCATGTGACAAAAACTCAAAACCGAGAAAATTATGTTTAAAGTAATATATAAATAATATAAAAAGTAAATTTAATTACCATCTAGGAAAATATAAAAATAGTGACACAAATGTAAATGTCACACGCACCGTTTCAACTAACGGTGGCAGAACTAGTCGCGTCACGCGAATTTGTTCGTCAGATCAGGTCAATTGGCAATATTCTTTATTTCCCTGCCGTATATGCCTTATCTGAAAACTATTTTTTTTCTTTTTTGTACAAAAAACGGCTCTTTTAGTAGAACAGATAATCGTTTATTAGCTTTTAAGTGCCAAGAACCCCGTCAAAGCCTTAAAATTAAGTACAAAATTTACGACAACATAACTGTGAATGTACTAGTGAGTAAATAAACCACTTTACTTATCTAAAATAATAATTAAAAAACTAAGTTTTTATTTTACAAAAGTTAAAAATGTGTCGCATAATGTTTTATCGATACTTTATACTACGATATCATTACGTTGGCAATTTTATCGATATATTAATTATCGATGTTTTATAAGCACTAAAATGGCGGTAAAAACAATTGGCAATATTTTTTAATTATAAATATAGTTACGTGAATATTATTAATATAGAGGCGATAAAGCACTTTCCATTCAATCTTAACTAAACGACATAACGTTGAATTTTCTATAAACACGTCTGCGTACATTTAGGGGTGGCCAACAGATTAACACAAAATCGTCACCAGTCTTAGGTAAATCAATATACATGGTGTTAAAAATTATTTGCAACTTAAATACAGGATATTGTTACTAACATCGTAAACAACAACTTTAGTTCCAAAAAAATATTTAGGTAGATCGCTATGAGACCTGGTCACTTACTGTGGGCCTCATAAAAAAGCTCGAAAGTTACTCAACGAGCTACGGAGCTTGCAATGCTCGGCATTTCTCAACGTGATCGAAACAGAAATGAGAAGATCCGTAGAAGAACGAAAGTCACCAACATAGCCCAAAGGATTAACAAGTTGAAGTGTCAGAGGAACTGACGGCTGTTGGGGCAGAAAGGCTCTCGAATGCAGACCACAAACCGGAAGACGTTCACGGGACGGCCCCTTACTAGATGGACGGAAGACCTGGACGCCTTCCGCTTGATATGATGATCGCTCTAAACGGTAATAACTTTGTGTGGTAACAAAAGCACCCACCACCAAAATTATTTTTATGAATAACATCACGCAAGAGGCGTTGCTAAAATTACACATCTAAAAAAGTGTCAGATAGTGCAACATAAACTTTGAAGTTTGTTTTTGGTAAATGTATTAAGTTTTGTAAAAAGTAATTGACCATTGTTGTTTATGATGTTAGTTTACAAACGAACCTGTACATAAAAAAACATACATGGTGTATTTTTGGTAAATCGACAATTTTAATCATTGCACTCATCTAGACAAACAATTTCAAAATAACTATAGTCTGTCTTTTTTGAAGATGGAGTAAAATGACAGTTCGTTGCGCGAAAGTGTTAGCTAGTGATTGCAGTCGATAAATATTCTATCGATTATCGATTGAATATTGGTCACGCTTATGCAATAAACAGCTTGTTTCATTTTAATCATCAACGACCCGTTATTCGTCCAACCGCTTGGCACAGGTTTAATTGTTATTTTTTTAAGTTCATACATACTAGAATTATGTCTATTAAAAATACAAAGACGTAATTAATAATTCATAATCTTATGACATCTAACTGTTCTTATTAAAATGTATGTCGATTCTAGAAAGCCGACTGTCAAAATAAGAATAAAGATGTCAAGAACGCGATTAGTAACCATCAGAACGTCGTAACATTCACAATTTAGATGATTATTTTATCTTTCACAATCCATTGATAATAATGTCGACAACAACTACAGGACTATTTAAAATTTTATAAAAACTGGCAAGCTTGCAAATCGTCTGTGAACTGGCAATCGGTTCTTCAATTCTTCATCCTGTAAAGTTGTCAAAATTGAGATAGTACCGGTTGCCAGTTCACAGTCGAAATGTCATTTTACTCCGTCTTTAAAAAAGACAGACTTTTTTTTATTGTCGGCGTCAAAATGTTGGTAATTTTTTTAAGTTTGTTCTTACCTACATACATCCTTACCTTTGTATAATAAGACAGCACATCCAACTCCCTTGTACGATGCGTCACCGCCTGCACGGTAGGGTTGTAACATAATTATTTAAGTCGTACTTACAAGTTGTAAACATAACTAAAAAAAAAGTTATTTGTTAGAAAAGGCTGCAAAGCAAGTGGTTCAAAAATAGAATCCTGAGTGTAGAAGGTTTCAAGCCACAAGACGCAAAACAGCTTTGCCCCCAAGCAAAACACAACTTTTCTCCCACTATAGCGAGGAAAGTGGTAGATTAAAAAAAACAGTTGAACTATAACAAATCAGTTCAAAGTAAACAAAATTAGTCATCGTTATCAATTTAATGTCAACGATAGTAAGAATAAAATACCCCAACGGATTTATATTACGTAAATAATATACAACAATTCGCGTAGTTAAACATGTAATTATGTTTTTTTTTATTAAAAGAAAAAGTTAGGTGCACCACAGTCCATCGTCAAGTTCGAATTCCAAAAACCTTTTCCACGCTAGCGTGGAAAAAAACGCTTTTGTGCGCAGATTTCTAATGAGAAAGAAAGCCTTTAAGCTAGTGAGGTGTACATAAGGTTTTCATCACAATAGACTCGTGCTGTACTGAAATAATCTTTGTTAAATGCACTAGGTACTTTATACCAGCATCGCGGATTAGTGTCTCGATTATGAATTTATGTATTACGTTTATGAAATTCAAAAATTCCTGTGTACAATACTTCACATATTGTGTACATTTTAATGAAATTCAAAAATTCTTGTGTACAATACTTCACATATTGTGTGCATTTTAATTTACACTGGGGCTTAGGAGGTTAATGAATGGCAAGTTTGATCCGCGGTGGCACCGCGAGATTATGCTAATGTGTGCGTCCATACACGACACGTGTCTGTATTGCATACATATAAGCCACGCTGCTAGGTTTCTTTGTAGTTATACGACTTGTGTTATTATACTACGTCTTTATTAATATGCAAGTCTCCGACCGGATTAAATCAGAGATTAGAACCCAGTTCCGTCTCTTTTAAACATAATTTTTAACGAATTTTGATTCTGTTTTTCACATTCTCGCTTTCATGAATTTTTGATATATACATATCATCACCATTTGTCGTTCGCCTAAGCCAGTATTCGTCTCCTTAGGGCGCGTTCCCACTATGTCGTGACGACAATTGTCGTGTAGTTTACAGTGTCGTGGCTTGTATATTTAAATGAAGTTGTTAACATATAGCTTGACACGATTAACTGTCGTTAACGATTTTTTATCGTTACGACAAACTGTCGTCACAGTGCGAACAGCTAGAACGACAGTCGTCGGATGATAAAAAAGTCACGATAAAAACGCAACGACAGGTTGTCGCAGTTCCTATTGTCGTGGCCCGATAATTTATCGATATTAAATTAAAAACTATCGATAATTTATCGATGTTATCGTGATCACGAAAACTATAGTCATGGACTTATTCAGAGGACCACCACTGATCAAATACTTGCATTTAATTGAAATCAAAAGACGATTAAAAACTTTCTTTTTTTTTAATATCACCCGCTTCCAAACTTACACCTTGTTGTATGTCACAATATTAGAAGTTCCAAAAATTGTAATTGAAAATTAAAGCCATGTTTTGTTTAGCACAACTAACATCATGTATATTGAGTACTTAAATACATACCATAGAATTTTACTAATTGAGAACACAAAGCTTCTGAATATAGTAAGTCTGAAATAAATCAATTCTTATAGAGCGACATGGGGAGGGAAGAATCTACTTTAGAATCTACTTTTTTTGCTGTGTAAGGGAGTTATTTACCACACTTGTCGAAACGGAACTGTATTAGGACGGCCAGATAAGGCTTTATATTCTCGCAATAAGTCCGAAAACAATGCTTTGGCTCTGACTGACAACGCGTAACGCCTAGTCTCTTTCATTCTTAGTACGTGGACATAAAAAATTATTTCATTGGATGCTACAAACAAATCATAATCTACTGGAGGTGGGCCCTGGTGACCTAAAACACAGGGTGTCCTAGATTAGGCTTCAGCCACTACATTTCATTATCTCAAAAGACCAATTAATCGGTTATACCTAATTTTTGTGGAGGAAATAAAGAAATTTATTATTTATTGTATAATATTTTTATGCCAAAACATTACACTTTACCATAAAATCTAATGCGATAGTATTTTTAACTTTCACCTTACGGATGCTAACTTTTTTATTGACTATCGATAGTATCGATAAAATTACTATCATTAGCATTATCGTTATGAAAACCTATCAAGGTCACGATAATACCGATAGTATAAAAAATATCGCTAAAATTATTATCGACAGCAATTGATAAAGCGAGTTTTACGAGATTGATATATTATTGATAACTTTATTATCAGGCAACATTAGTATTTTATAAATTGACAAAGCGGAGCAAAAGTCTTCCTCCCTCCCCTCACCATGTCGCTACCTAAGACGAGGACAAGCGTAAGCGGTCACACTATTATTAAAACAGATAATTTGAATCACTTTGGTACCAAGTGTGTATGAAAGTATGACGGGGAAAAGGGCCCACGACTGTTTTTGCCCAAAGTTAATTTTGGTCATGAAAGATCTAGAATAACTCAGAATATATAGGGTGAAATTTATTTACACAAGTAAATTAATACAAACAAAATAACTTTGCGACAATAGTTTTCTGCTATAAACTAGTAAACGAAAACCCGTTAGCTTCGTCTCCAGCTTTAAGATAAAATTTCTTAGATTTCTAGTTCCAAATTCCTTTAGAATATTCCAGAAGTTCTAAATTTCAAAACGAGCTAAAGCCTTTAAGAAATTCTCTTTTGGAACGGAAGGATTTAACGTTTGAAGGAAAAATATTATTTAATGGTTTTTCTAAACTGT